CCCCGGGCCGCCCCGGAGGCTCCCGGGTCCCAGCGCGGGCCCGCCCCCGCCGCCGCGCTCGCCCTCCCCCCACAAGGGCGGCGGCGTGGGGCCTGCAGAGCCCCCAGCCCTTCCGGCCGCCTGGGGGGCGGGGGCCGTGCTTTTCCCCTGCGGCCGCCTCCGCCCGCTGCGATCCCCGACAGTCCCGGCCAGCCGCCCGCCCCGCCCCCGCGGCGGCGGCGGCCGCCGGCCTCCCCCGTCAGTCTCCTCACGCCGGCCTACCCCGTCATTCCTCTCTCGTCAGCCCCTCTCGTCGGCCCCCCTCTCGCCTTCCCCGCCCGCTGTCCTCCTCTGGGGTCTCCCCGCGGTTTTCCGACTGGAGTGAGGTGGGGGCCTCCCTCCCGCGGCCCGGGCCCAACTGCCGCGAAGGGCACGTCCCTGCCCTCCTCCGACACGTCCAGGGGTACCCGGGAGCCCCCCCGCCCCAGCCCGGGGCACGCGCGTCTGCGCCGGGAGGAGCCCCCGGGAGTGGCCTTCTCCGTGGTCCCCGAGGATGACCCCCAGGAAGGACTGGCCGCGGCCTGAATGAGCGACCTTCTCAAAGGGTCTGACATACTTCCTCGCGTCTAACCCCTTGGATACGGCGTTGTGTTAATATCACAACTGATTTTCCAGAAGAACGAATCCCAGTGTTTTTTTAGGAGAGACAATGCGGTGTCCGTTTTTCAGCAGTTAAATAACTCGGGACAAGGGAGAGCTAAATTGTAGGGTGTTAGAACTGAGTACAAGTGCAGAGTGAATCTATTCCATTAAGAAATTAAGACCGTGAAATACGGATTTTCCGGGGTTCACATGATGAACGCATCAATCCTGGAGCATTTCTATTAATATGCCCCCAAATTACCAGTGTCCTCTTTCTGGTCTTTTAAATACATTGTTGCAAACAAAATGCCAGTTTCACCCCTTGGACCCAGTTCTGTCATTTCTACCACAGACCTGACCTTTGAATGGTTTTCTCTGGTCAGTTGAAAACATGTATTGACATTCCCGAAATGTATCTCAATGTTTCGAAACACAGAAAGATCTCATTGACCGTTTTTGGTGTCTTTCAGTACAATGTATTTTCTAAAGCAGAAAATCCTGAAGTGGATTTTAAGTTGGTATGGTTGTCTGACTTGTGAAAGAGGCGGGTGTAAATCTATCTTAAAGTAATCTTTGTGTGTGTGTGAATGTGTGTGTGTGTGTGTGAGTGAGTGTGTGTGAGAGAGAGAGTTTATTTCTGAAGGAGCAGCAGGAATCTTTTTCTGTGGCCTCTTTAATTTATGTGCCTGTCAGGTGTCTACAAACTTTCTCATGGTCTGTTAATTAGTCTACTGTTACTGACCTTTATCATGAAAGCTGTCAAAACAAAATGAGTAACAGCATTTTGTACTGTGGCTCTTCACTGTGCTGTTTCTTTGTCCTTTGAAATTTAGTTCGATCTCATTGGTTTTGTGTGCATTGAATTTGGAAAACGTGGGTTAGTACTGAAATCTCTTGCAGAGTGGAGAGCACCTCACCTTTATCTTCTGATCTTAATTACATGATAATTAGGAGTTGGAAGGAAAAACAGTTTGTGACTCTTTTGTTAAGTTAGTGAGCTTTGAATTCCAGGCTAAGATTAGCCGCCCATTATTGCATTTATTTTAGTTCACATCGAAGTAGTTTAAACCCTCTAAAATTCACTAAATGTAGTTTATCTATTGAGTCTTCATGTGAGTTAAAAACTTGATGTTTTAACATTCCCTATTCAAATCTTTTATAGTTTACTTGTTAAGGTGTTTATATGGTGTTTTTGTTTTTCTATTAGTAGCGTTAAAGATTTTCCCTTTTACTAGTGTTATCGTTTAAGACTGGAATCTGGTACAAAGAGTTTGGGATTAAAAATTGGTTTTATAACTCATCTGGGTTTTCTTTTGTGTTTTAAACCATTTTGGTTGTGTTGGCTGATGAGAGCCTGTGCTCCAGTGGTTTGCTTGGTGAGATCGGCCTGCTCCCCTGGGATCCAGGTTATGTGAAGGGGATGTCAAATGTTCCTCATGGTGCTTCCTTGCTTTCACCCAAGTGCTGACTGGCATGCCTTCTAATTCTCTGTTCTTTTTACCCTTTGCACACTTCCCGCATCATCATGATTTCTTTTGCAGGAAAGAACTGAATGAAATTCCCTTGGGGCCTGCCTGACTCCTCGGCACCAGCCCCTGCCGGGGAGAGCCGCCCACACTTCCTCTCTCGGCCGGGTGGCCGGCCTGCCTGCGTGCCTCTCGGGGCCTGGGCCCTGAGCAGCAGGACCTCGGTGCAGCACTGCCTTGCCTGAATGTGCCTTCTCGTCATACTTCACTCCCTGGCCCTCACCTCCCTGTTTTAAAATTAAAAAAACCTACCTAGTGAGAACGAAATCTTTGTGAATCAGTTGCCTGGTGAATTTGTTAAGGTGAAGGCCAGCTTGACGTTTGCTTTTTGTGAATGGTTCTCCCAAGCTTCTGTGTCTTCTCCGTAGTGAACCATGGCGTCCGGCACCGCCGCCAGCGAGGAGGAGCGCAGCCTCCGGGAGTGTGAGCTCTATGTCCAGAAGCACAACATCCAGGCGCTGCTCAAGGACTCCATCGTGCAGCTGTGCACCGCCCGGCCCGAGAGGCCCATGGCCTTCCTCCGGGAGTACTTCGAGAAGCTGGAGAAGGTGAAAACAACTGGGGAGCTGAGAGCTGACCCTGATGGTTCTTAAGTGCAAGGCTGGAGAATGTCACTGATCTCTATCTTTGGGAAGAAAAGGGATGCTGACCAAATAAGAATTTACAATCATCATCATCATCATTTAAAATAGAATTTCAGAAAAGAATACAGTTAATGCCATTGTAGTAATTTGTAACTTTATAATCAGAATTTATCAGAACTACTCTGAATGCTCAATTTACTTGGCGAACAGGTTTTCCAACCATAGTTCCTTGTAACTGTTTTAATTAATACATAAAATGGACCAAATGAAATAACTGAGTTGGTTCAGTTGATTGGAAGTAGTACAACACTGGTCAGCAGAAACCATTGCAAGATTGTAAATCGATTATATTCCAGTAAAAATTAAAAAATTAAAATGGTACATCAGTGGTGTGAACTGAGAACTTTTGCAGTACTTGAAAGCATTTAATGCTGTTTTCTTCAGCAAAACAAACTTGTAGGCTTTATCCTATGTTTGAAATCACTGTACTGGAGCATACAAGTCTGGCTTGTGACTAGTGTATCAGAAACTCTTGAGTTGTCCAAGTGTGTTTTACTGTAGGATATGTCCCAACGTAAATTGACTCTGGAGCAGAGAGAGTAAGATTGATGGCTGTCAGAATTTTACTTTATTTACAATTCTGGTCAGGACTTGTTTCCTCTTGAAAAAAAGAGAGTCAGTTTTTACTCATTGTTGTTCATCCTTATTGTGTGTGTGTCAGTCGGACCTAAGCTTGGGGTATGTGCTTCTCTAAGCCAAGTGGGCATTTTTCATCAAGGTCAGTACTTTAGTTCAATCCCTTAAAAAATGATGAATGAGAAAGTTTGGATTGTTAAGAGTTTTGAGTAGTTTGTTTGATTTGCTCCTGAAATTTCAGCAGGATAAAGTTACAGATTTTCTTAACTCATATTGAAGTTTTGATGTGGTTCATAATGACTGTGAATCACTTGGGAGGCATTTTCTTAGGTGTATGATTGTTAATTATCTAGTTGTATTGCAGAAAGGTTTGTACTGTATCCCACTGGTTTGGACAACTTCTCAAACAGCATAATTTATTAGTAAAAGAATCTGTTTTACTAATGTTCAAAAAATGTTTGGGTGGCTCAGTGATTGGACCCTTCTCCCCGTTTTCTTGGAAAGCTGTTGAAATTGGTTTTTAGTATCATGGTTAGAATAATTAAAAACAACAGGAAAACCTAACCAGTCCCAGTGAATTGCAGTAGAAAGCCTGGTTTTCCTCTTACTGAAGCAGTTGCTGGTCGTGGAGTGTTGTCGCACCAGGCTGCTGTGGGCCTTCCCTCCCTGTTTGGAAGTGAAGTGCGTTCCTGGAGGTCTGGTTCTGAAGTCGGTCACTGTAAGGTGATCCCTCTGCTCCCCGGACATCAGTAGAGCCACCCGCTGAGTGGCCGAGGTGGGTGAGACGTGAAGTGTGTGTCTTTTTATAGGGAGAGTGGAGTGTGGTGCTCATTTCAGGGCCTGTTTTTTCATGGCCCTTTTGGAGCACTGACTGCAGGGAAAAGAGGAGAGGATCATGCAAGTAGTTTCTTTGCACATGGGGTTTTTAGATGTGATGTGTGTTGGCCTGTCTACCTTTTAATAGAGTCACAGCTTACCACTTTTTCTGTAATTCATGGATTTTTGTACATTTGCATTCATTCCTTTAGCCAAGGTTGAATACAGATATCCGGACATTGGAGAAACTAGAGTTTCAGCTGTTCAACAGGTCATCTTTCTGTACGTTAGGTGTTGAGTTATATGTCTGAAACTACAATCACACTCTTGTCACCCCTTTGCCGTGCTAACCAGGGCCCATGTTTCTGGTTCCCTCAACTGCTCAGTAAGAAATGCCCCAGAAACCTATCTCAGTTGGTCCTTTGACAGCGTCTGCGTTTTACTGTTGTTTGTAATCCGAGTCCTCTCTTCTGTGTCTGTTCATTTGAACCTTGCCAACTAGTAGATGAGAGGATTTGTGATAGCTCTGACCATGGAGTGCCTCCCATGTGCCAGGTGGTGTGCCAGCCCTTGACCTTTTATAAATACTCATTACTTCAAACATGTGAGGTTGGTGATTGTCACCATTTTACAGAGGAAGCAGTGAAGCTAAGCGGGGTCGGGGAGCCTGGCCGTGGTCACACGGGGACCAGCCTTTGTTGCAGCACTTAGTGAGTCCTGGGTCTCGGTGGTTGCTCCACGTGTCCTGATACTTGGCCACGTGCAGCCGTCTGTGCTCAGCCCATCTTGTCTTGGCTGCACATGTCTTGTTCCGGGGCTCACTGGAAGGAGCAGCCATATATAAGGCATGCTGTTCTCAAGGCAGAGTGGGCCAGATGCTCCAGGGGCCAGAGTACAATCTTACAAGAGGATGTGGTGTGGCAGAACAAGCCACGTACCAAACCCCGAGTCAGTGGGCTGGGACGTCGACTTCACCCTTTGGGAAGAATGGATGTCAGGGCAGGGAGGATGGTGCAAACACGTTGAGTTAGCCACAGGCAGGGAATCAGAACTTAATATGCTAGGATGCATTGACAGTAAGTGGACTGGGAGGGGTTCTTTTGAGGAGTGAGGAGACTGAAGCATGACAGCACCAAGGAAACACATAAAAACATGTCACGACGCGCAGTAGAGATGGGTGCCCTCAGCGGTGGTTCTGTCATCAGGATCAGGCTATATCCAAGTGCTGTTGACGATGGAACCCAGAGAGCACTGTTACAACCGCAGTGCTCTTGGCACTTCAGAATTGTCTAAGACAATAAAAATTCACTTAGAAGGTACTTCCAAATGAAGGGTTGCTTGTGAGATTTTTCATGAATTTTTTGTGAAATATCAATGACAAATCTTGGGTAGAATCTGTTTTCATTTATGCTCTTGAACTTTAAACTTTGGGGAGACTTGAGTTTTAAAGTTCTCTGTTAATATGGAATGAGAAAAATCTTACCTGTTACTGTAATTATCAGAATGACAGTGAAGTGGGTTTTCTTTGAAAATTTTTTAAAAAACAGTTTGGTTACATATTTGCCCGTGGTTCAGCATGACAATAAAAAGTCTTTTTCCTACTCCTTTGTCTCCCTGGAATGCTGCCTGAGTTGCATCATATACGGGCATTTATACGGTTGTGTCCAGCGTGTGCATGGTATCCTATTGTACGGATGTACATTAATGCGTGGTGCTTAATCACCACATTGATGACCATTTTGGTGGTTTCCGGTATTTTGCTGTTAAAAGCTTTGGTATAATGAATAACTCTGTGTATCTGTAATTCCACATACATGCATGTTTTAAAATAAATTCCTAACAGTAGGCACACTGGGTTATTTGATCAACAGGTAAGTGCATTTGTAACTAAATATGCAAATACATTCACGTTAGTTTTGTTATAGGCCTTTGTTACTGTGTTTTTAATTGAAAAATCTAAAGAGATGAGAAAAATAAAGCTGGTTCCTCCCTCCAAAAAATAAAAAGATCGGGCACAAGTCTACTGATAGAAATAAGCACTGTTCTTGCCTCAGTGGTTGTTGTTCTAGCTGGTTCTCGCTGCACTTGTGTGTTCTTTGATTTGTCTTGATGCCAGATGCAGAGCTGAGTACCAGGGGAGGAAAAGCCGCCCCTCCTTAAATTCTTTTTTATCAGAATTTTTCAGAAATAATTAGTAAATGCTGTCATTTAGAATTTGAAGGCTGTTTTGGGAAAAGAATGGAGAATGAGTCATGAACGAGAAGGTGATAGCTCACCATTCTTGGCTTTTTTCATTCGGGTTTTACGTCAGTCATAACTCATTCTCTACTGCAGACCTGAGAGGGATTTCTTTTTAAGGCCCTAGATCTGAAAAATAAGATTGTTAAATAGTTGATCTTGGTTTCATATGAATTGGTTTAATAAGTTGTAAAAAACAGGTAAACCAAATGTCAGCCCTGCCTGTAAAGAATGCTTCCAGCTCTGTTAGGATAAGTATTGTTATGTCTGATCTTAGTTGAAGTCCAGGTTCCCATCACATTTCATTATTTGTTGAATATGAATCCTGCAGGGTCAGCACTCTCTCGTATTGTTTTTTGTATTTCCCCTGCCTAGTGTAGATGTGGCATGGCAGGTCCGCAGAGTGTGTATTGAGTTAATGGAGTAACCTGATAGTCTAGACTTTCTTATGTCACTTTGCTGTGCCTGGGTGATATTCCTAGATGGCATGCATGGGCAAGGCAGGGATCTCACACTCATTTCCCAGAGTTTTGTTTTGCAGTTTATTACTGTTGAATGCATTATAGATCATTGTCAGTTTATTACTACAATGAGTGTATAGTTTCTTATTTGCATGTTATGTGCCCTTGTACCAATGGCTTTTTGTTAGTATAGCGTTTATCACCATCTGAGGAGCAGTATAACCCTTTCAGGGTATTTCTCTTCAAACTCAACTCTCCATTTTCTCCCATTCGTGATTGGCCTTTGCCCCTTAACTTTCACGTTGAATAGGAGAGATGTGCAGTGGCTGAGAAGGACTGTCAATAGAACACGAGAATGCCAGTGAAGAGCACTGATGGAGGGTCTCATTTTATAAACTTGTGATTTTTCAGGAGGAGGCAAAGCAGATCCAGAACCTGCAGAAAGCAGGCAGCCGTGCAGACTCTCGGGAGGATGAAATCTCCCCCCCGCCCCCCAACCCCGTGGTGAAGGGCCGGCGGCGACGTGGGGCCATCAGTGCCGAGGTCTACACGGAGGAGGATGCTGCGTCCTATGTTCGGAAGGTACCTGCACGCGGGAATGTCTCCTCTGATGAACGCGCGCTGTTCCCACTACTAAACAGACAGGGTGGGCCATACCCTGCGCTGTTCCTGGGTACTGGGGAGCAGGTTTCTGCAATAGTAGGCCATCAGAGGAAGTATCTATAGTGATTATAAAACAGTGAGTACTTGAGTTTGGGGGATTTTCTTTTCCGTGGTGGTGTTTTGCAGTGAAAGACCAGACAGTACTCCTTTTTGTCTTGAGTTGTGGTGTCAGTTTTTGACGTCTTCCTGTTCATGTGGTGGCTTGAACATTTTGCTCTGTAAGCGTCATTCATCTCAATTGGCTCTCTCTCAGAGCCAGTCTGCCGTTTCCAGTTAAGAGATTAGCCTGAAGGGGGAAGATAATCGAATGATCACACTTTAGAAGATGACCAGTTACCGTAAAATGCTTAGGTGTGCCTCAGTAATGACCTTGGGTAAGGTGGTTGTTGACTAGGAACCAAATATCAGCCTTTCAGTACAGGCCTAGTTGTAGACAAAGGGGATTAATTAGTATTTGTTCACTCAAAGTCAGTATTTGTGGGTCGAAGATAGTGTGAGAGTGTTGTGTTGAAAATACTTAACTCAGAGCAGCCTTGTTCATATACCTAAGGTAGCTTGACATCTAATTGAAATGTCGGTTGCAGTCATGAAGTTGTTTTGGTTTATGGAATGTATGGAATGGTCATTGGACTTTCTGCTCTTTCTAGGTTATACCGAAAGATTATAAGACAATGGCTGCTTTAGCTAAAGCCATTGAAAAGAACGTACTGTTCTCACATCTTGATGATAACGAGAGAAGGTAGGTGATAGTATTTTTCTGGTACAGTTGGGCTCCCAAACTAGCTGCCTCATGGTTGCAAGTTTTAAAGGGTCTTCATAATTGTTCACCTGGTGCCACTCCAGGCTGAAAATCTGGAAGCTCTAAGGGTAACTAACAGACTAAGGTCTGTTAGCTCCAAGGTCAGTGTTGCGTAACACGAAGCCTCCTCTCTCCGCAGTGACATCTTCGACGCCATGTTCCCTGTTTCCTTCATCGCTGGAGAGACCGTCATCCAGCAGGGTAAGGTGGCCGCGCTCGCGGCGGAAGCGCCGCTGCTGCGCCACGCGGATGCTCCCTGAGCCCGCCGCCTGCCTTCCAGCGTGCTGCGATTACAGTCTTCTGAACTAAGAGTGAAAGGCACACTTTGAGTGAGGGACTAGTATTCCCGTAATGTCAGTATGGTTTTGTTTATAATAACTGTTAAAGAAAATTCGCGCATTTTTACTTTATAAGGAATTCCAGAGCCACATGTATTTTATATATCCTTGATATGGATTATTAACCAGTCAGAGGAAAATAAGAGTAGGAATAAGCCACACACTCAGATTCTTCATCATCTAGCCCATCTCTGTACAAGGCTCTGTACCTTCTGCTGACTCTTTATTTTTGCCCACACACCCCGACATGGAGCTCATGTTTTGGGTGTTCCCTCTTTTTTCCTTTCTATTTACTCTCAGTATTTCCATGGGTTTTCATAATCCGTATATTTTCTTCTTTAGTGACAAGGTGATATGTTGTTACTGTTGTATCTTGTTTTGTTGTTTTAGATGACATGGCAGTTAACATTTCTATACATATAAGTGGCTTGCTTAAGTTATTTTTCAGAGGCATCTTCACCATGAGATGACTGATGACCTGGTCAGTTTTATGACTTGTAAAATATATTGCTGGACTTTTTGGTTTGATTTGTTCTTTAATTCATAATTTGCTTCTGACTTTTTTACTCTCTTCACTTTTAGGTGATGAAGGGGATAACTTCTACGTGATTGACCAAGGAGAGATGGATGTAAGATTTAATAATAGCAAAAATATGTCGAGAATCTTAAAAGTCAGCTTGTTACTTACTGCTTTTTATTTATTTTTTATTTACTGCTTTTTAGAGTGTCTGAAGGACTATTACATCCTTGTATGTTAGATTCCTTTTGCAAAATGTTTTACTGACACCAAGAAAGGCCATTTTTACTGACACTAAACCTTTTAAATATAATTTCTTTGGCTGAATGTACAATTCAGAACTTCTGCTAGGTTAGCAGTTAAGGCATGTGTGCATGCTTTTGAGTAGGATAAGGTCGGTGGAGGCTCGGCAGGTCATCAGCTGGGAGACTTGGTACAGCCTTCTGTACTGTACATCTTGTCCCTCCCATAAGAGTGTTAGAAAAGTCGGTGGCATGGCAAGTAAAATGCTAACCAGCACAGTGCCTGGCACAGGCTTCTATAAATACACTTGTTCAGTGGCTGAGTTGTGTCCGACTCTTTGCAACCCCATGGACTGCAGCACGCCAGGCTCGTCTGTCCTCCACTCTCTCCTGGAGGTTACTTACAGTCATGTCCGCTGAGTCGGTGATGCTATCTAACCATCTTATCCTCTGCTGCCCCCTTCTCCTTTTGGCTGGTAAATACGTAACGAGTACTGTTAATGCCTAGTTCACTTTTTTGCTCTCATCATCCCTTCTGAGGGCCTTTTTCTTACCAGATAATTAAACCAGGTAAATTATAGACACTCTGAACATACTTGATTTGTCAGAAGTCAGGTGTCTTTGCTGTGTACCGGAAAGGTAACATTTAATTTTCTACAAAGTTCAGGATTCTGATCTCTTTAAAAAAAGTGTGTAGGTTTTTAATCCGTATGTATTTGTGTCTGTAGAGATAACCAGTGCTTTTGTATTTTAGGTCTATGTCAACAATGAATGGGCAACCAGTGTCGGGGAAGGAGGGAGCTTCGGGGAGCTCGCTCTGATTTATGGGACTCCTCGAGCGGCCACTGTCAAGGCCAAGACAAACGTGAAACTGTGGGGCATTGACCGGGACAGCTACAGAAGGATCCTCATGGTGAGGCCCGTGGGGGTGGGTGCAGACCACTGTCCAGGCTGTGTGACTCGTGTTCGACAGTACCACCGTGGGAAGATGGGAATACTTCTACTTGTAATGACTGAATGCTTGACCTTAGCATTACCCACTACACCGTTTGTGACAGAGATCTTTTAGAACAGAACTTTGGCTGAAATAATACGGGAGACAAACAGGGGTGTGTATGCAGTGGTCAGCTGATGTTTGGAGCTGTCTCCATTGGTCAGCACATCTTCCTTCAGCCAGTCTTCACACAGACAGACAGCTTGATGGATGCTGCGCTGACGTTTCTATGGTAGCAGTTTGAGTTCCTTCTTTCTGTGGAGGATTAGGGTTGTGGAGAAGGACCCTGAGCTGGAAGTATACTCAGCTTTACTTGGGGTTTTTTTTCCCTTTTTTTTTTTTTGGAGAACTGATTATTTGCTTTTTTGACATTTCAGTATTTGATGAATTCTTTATCTATATACTTGGTGTTCCTTTTAGGAGCAAGTTACTGAGAACTTTTTATTGAACACAGACCTTACCATCTTCAACAGGAGAAAACAAGCAAGCTCTGACTACTGTTTTCAGTTTACCTGAAACATTTCTTACTCCACAGCATTGTGTGAATTACACATTTTAGAGATATGACTTTCTTTTTTTCATTTACAGGGAAGCACGCTGAGAAAGCGGAAGATGTATGAGAAGTTTCTTAGTAAAGTGTCTATTTTAGGTAAGTTTGAAAGTTGCATGGAGAATCGCTAAATTGAAGTGTTAGTAATGCTTAAGGAAATGGATTCTGTTTCATAAAGATTGCTTGAGTTATCAATATTTTTTCATAGTAACAAAAAACATAGGAATGTGGAGCTGAAGTTTGGCTACGAAGTAATTTCACTGTGTGTTTAATTTGCTAGTGGGTGGCTGACCTCTTAGTTAGACATAAGTGCTACTGATTTCCTCCTGGAAGGATAGAAAGGCTGGACGTGTCCTCCAGACGGTGGATGGCTGGTTATCCCTGGGATGTGGTCTTCATTGCTCTGTGAGTTTTTTCAGTTCAGGAAAGTGAGTGTTGCCAAGAATGTGTGTCTTCTGTGGAAAGGTTTGGTGTCACTTGCTAGCTTTCTCTGAAAAAATGCTAGAAGTTTGAGGAAATGTAGAGCAGCGTAATCAGAGGTGCTTCTATGTGATCTGTTTTGTGGACTTGGAGACATTATTATAAGCTGGTCTTCATTGGGAGAGAATGGTGAGTTTCATAAGGTTACACAGTCTTAATCACTGCTTTTTACAGTGACTTGATTTTTGTGCCCTTACTTTTCCTTTCTTGGAAATGATTACTTTCTAGTGTCTCAAGTGTCAGTTTGGCCTTTGGGAACATAAGTTAATTTTTAGTTATTCTTGTTGGTTTTGTAAATCAATCTGAGTTATTTCTCTGCATTTCTGGAACAGATTCTTTTTGGGTCCTGTAATTGCAGGTTTGATTTGCATTGATGGCAGTCTTTGGCAATGCTTAATGATCACATTCTTTTCATTCCTTTCCTATTGGCTGCAGTTGGTGTAGATTTACTTGGCTCCTGGGCCCCTGAATTCAGGAGGGCACTTGGGCCACCTGTAAGTGACAGGGGGTTGTTGCTAAGAGAGAGGTAGTTGAAGACAGGTGCCAAGTTGAATCTGAGCCACACTAGAGTGTTTTAGTTGACTTTTTTATACTTTTTGTTTTGAAATTTTTAGCAATACCAAGTAACAGAGAAAACTCTTTTGATATCTGCCTTTTAGAATCTCTGGACAAGTGGGAGCGTCTCACGGTAGCTGATGCGTTGGAACCAGTCCAGTTTGAAGATGGGCAGAAGATTGTGGTACAGGGGGAGCCGGGTGATGAGTTCTTCATTATTTTAGAGGTAAAGACGGGGCAGCCCCGGAGGGAGACGGGGCACTGGTTCTCAGTCACAGCTTCTGTTTTGGGGTTACCCGACAGTTTTAGTTAAAGGTTATCATTCCCTTTGAAATGCGGACGTTTGCTTTTCTGCTGCTGCTGAGTCGCTTCAGTCGTGTCCGACTCTGTGCGACCCCATAGACGGCAGCCCACCAGGCTCCCTGTCCCTGGGATTCCCGAGGCAAGAACACTGGAGTGGGGTGCCATTGCCTTCTCCATGCTTTTCTGCTAGGCCACCACATTTTAAATGAGTTTAAGTCAGAATTGTGGGAAGTACTAGCCAGATTCTAATCTACTCAAATTACTTCTGCTTATACAGGCCAGACAGAACTCGGCCACTCAACTCACAGACTGTGAGGTGATGTACATTTCTGTTAAAATCATGCCTTTGGGCTGTTTGACAATAAAGGGCCCAGCTCAGGTCTTTAAATTCTTTGTTTTCCCATGTTTTATATGCTCATGACCGTTGACATGGAGATCTGCACAGCTGATGTGCTATGAGGGCGGTCAGGAGACGCTGCCGGTATTTCTTGAGCCAGGGCTTGAGGAAGTCTTTGTGAGAAGGGCCAGGCAGTAACTAGTCCAGGAGGCTTTTCTGAGCCCTGGTGTTTCTCTTGCAGACAGAACTTGTCTCACAGTGAGACAGCAGGCAGGGACAGTACCTCGAGGGGCTGGTGTGTCGCTCGTGTGTAGCTGTGTCTGTAAAGAGGCAGTGCGCCTGGGCCTGGCCCTCCTCCTGCGGCTTCTCACCTCAGTCCCAACCCCGGAAGCCCCCCAGGAACTCCGGGGGGATGGCGGTCAAGCCTGGGCTGACTCTTCAGTCCTCTTCATTACATGAACACGGGGGATTTGAATACCTGCTGAGTGTTTCCTCTGCAGAGCCCTGAAGCCGCGCAGGGCGTTTAGCGTGCCCCGGGGTCGGCCGCACTAACGCGTCGCTCTCCGGTGCCCCCCACAGGGCTCGGCCGCCGTGCTGCAGCGGCGCTCCGAGGACGAAGAGTTCGTGGAAGTGGGCAGGCTGGGGCCTTCGGACTACTTCGGTAAGCGGGCCCCTCAGCGTGAGGCCCTTCTCGGCAAGCGGCGCAGTCCTTCCTGGTCTTGTTTTCCTTCTCCTGCATTTCAGTTTTTACTTCAGTTTCTTGGCTCTCGAAGTTTGACCTTCACTCGGTTAATAATTATGTTGCTGTCTCACGTCTGTCATTGGATTGTTTTTCTGGATTGCGGGTGTCCTGTGGCCTGTGCGGGTGTCTCTCTCCGCTCTGAGGGTGCCTCCAGGAAAGCGCTCCGGGAGTGCACCCACTCTCAGCCCTCTCTCCCCTCCAGGCGAGATCGCCCTGCTGATGAACCGGCCCCGTGCAGCCACCGTGGTGGCCCGTGGCCCACTGAAGTGCGTCAAGCTGGACCGGCCGCGGTTCGAGCGCGTTCTCGGCCCGTGCTCCGACATCCTCAAGCGCAACATCCAGCAGTACAACAGCTTCGTGTCCCTGTCTGTCTGAGGCGCGCCCCGCGCCCCGGCCGCCCCGGCCTCCACGCAGACGCCCTGCCCGCGCAGCGCCCTGGGGCCACGGGCACCGCAGCTTCTTGTTGGTTTCTGTTCCAGTTGCTTTTGTGGCACCGTTTTTATTTTGGAGCATTACTGAGTGCTCACACAGTTAAATAAATAGAAGGATTCTCTGGAGACTTTGCTGTCCCTGCTTCTCTGTGCAGTGTTAGTGTTGACACCCAGCCACCCCCGCCCCACCCCGGCCCGCTGTCTGCCGAGGGCTGACCCCGCCCCGCCGAGTTACGTGGAGCCTGAGGGGCAGCGCGAGGTTCCCGGAAGTGACGCACGCCTCCTGTTAGCGTGAGCAGTCTTCAGACTGTGGCTGTGTGCTGTCTGTGTAGAGTAAAGGACTTCTCACGAAGCTCTGAGGGTCAGGAACAGGTATAGCAGAATCTTCATGTAGTAGGACATCTGCCTGTAGTTAAAGTAGCTTGAGGGTGGACTTGCCCGTTGTTGCTATGATAGGACCAGTTGTGTTTTTTTTTAAAAAGAGTTTGTACTTGTCAGGCAGGTTTGCCTGGTTTTGTTTCTCTCCAGTTGTTAAGGTTTCCTCTTGATCTCTGCAGTATGTGGAGGTGTGGCTATCTGTTCCTGCTTTCTGCGTTTCACACTGAAGCATAAGCTACAAATACCGGTTCTGATTTAACGACATCTGCCTCAGCTCACAGATTCTGATTAGACCTTCCTCTTTCCAGCTAGTGCCAAATACTCATCAGCAGATGCTGAAATGACAATGAGAATTCGAGGTCTGCATTCTTGGTGGTTAACTGGGAGCTTCTAGTTAGTGTGTGTCCTTCAGGTGACTCCAGGATGGTCATCTCTTAGGCTCTGCAAGCCCCGACTCCAGGACAGACACACTCCGTGTCGATGTCGTGACAGAGAAAGGGATGAGGGGTTGCTAAAGGGGGCGATGGCAGGCAGACAGAGTTCAGTGTTGGAACTCTGCCCCCTAAGTTCACTGGGGCAGGGGACTTGGAAGACATTCTTTACTCTGCTTCTGCATCCGCACCACTCCTCGCCCCGCTTTAAGTCAACTAGACTTTATGGGGGGTTGGGGGCCGGGCAGGATGTGTGTGTGTTTCACACCCGTCAGAAAGGCCATCCTGCTGAGAAGTTCTGCTTCCCTATCCACTGTTCTATTCCCTGGGAAACTCCTGTGTAAACTTGTGTTTTGAGTCTTAACTGTATTTCAGTGTTTTCCAGCTTTATCAACCTTGTGTTACACTATTCCATGTGCACCAATGATAACCCCACTGTTCATCTTTATTGTTTTTTTAAACAGCATCTCACAGTTCCGTAATGTAGGCACTTTTATTTGCATTGTGATCTTTATAACATAACATGTAGGGGTATATTTGGGAGTGACTGCAAGCGTTTCTTTTTCCATCTATGTGCAACTGACTCTGATTATTAATCCCTTCTGATTATTAATCCCTTCTCCTTACCCTTTCCTGGGTCATTAAATTGGTCATGGTACATGTTTTTCACAGATTTGAACAGTTTTTAGGTTGTTAAACTAGTTTGGAGTATAAATCTGGGAAACATTTTATTTACATTTTAGTGTGGAATGGAAAGCCACCTTATTACAAATTTTTTATTTTTCAAAATTATACTAAATGAGGATTTTTGATCTGTATTTTGTGTTTAGCTGCCTTTTTATATTTAAAAGATTAAAACTTATGTTAATTAGCTTAAAGCTTAATTTGATCTTTGTTTAAATGCCAAAACTGTACTTAACTAAATTATTTAGAATGTCATATGTTTGCACAGTTTCCTATATGTATATAATCATGTTCCATGTATATTTAGATACCTATAATGCTTCCTAAATGAATTTTGCTCTTAAGTCATTTGGCTTTGCTGTTTACCCCTTTTTGTAGTTTTTAACCTAAGAAAATTGAAGTCTGAATTTTAAAATGATCACATTTTAAGCTTTATCTTTGTGCAGTCTGGGTATATATGAGAAACCACAGTTGGCATCATTTGTCTCAGTGGATATCCTGAGCTTTAGCAGTCATCATTTCTGGGCTTGGTAAGGGAGTTTATGAGATCTCCTGCTCTAGACAGTGTGGACCGCCAAAGGACCATTTTGTATTGTTTCTTGGTTACTAGTCCGATTATACTCTGTGTGCTAATATACTCTCTTCTTTTTGTTATAGATTGTCTCAACGGTAGGTCAAGTAATAAAAAGATTAAATAATTTACTGAATCAGTTTTTCTTCCCTTTCTCCTTTTCTTCTCTTCTCCATCCCCACTCCCCAGAAACTCTGAATCCAAATCCGGCGTGCAAGGATGAAAATTGATTGTAAATTAGGAGATGAGGGGATCATTGAAAGAGTATGTTTGTTTTCAGTGTTTTCCAGCTCAGTTTGTCAGTGAATCTAAAATCCTTACTTTCAGGGTCATTGAGATGTACCGGATCTGTTTACTGAATGATGGAAGGAAAAGATTAAATCAAGCAAAGAATTCCTTTTTGTTAAGGGTAGACTGGTTCTCTGGCCTTGAAACTTTTCCAGACTGAATGGAAAATACTCCTAGGTCAGTGTGCTCCTTGGTTTAAATTTAACAAGTGCATTTGTATATTTAGGTGTGTGTCTGTGTTTTGCACACATACAAAGTCATATACCCTGTGGAATTGTACACAGAAGCCAGCGCTGTTGAAGGACAAATTTGTGAAGTGCAGACTCTTCACAGGGTCTGTGGTTCAGGGTCTGTGGGCCTAGGTGCAGAGCTGTGACTGCATCCTGACGCAGCCTAAAACCCAAACCCCAGCTGAGGCGGGCTTCTTCTTTTGTGGAAGCTCTGCCGGTGTAGAAAGCAGCTCTGTGGTCTCCCCAGTCACCACTAGAGGGAGAGCTTGTCATCGTCTTTGTTCACCACAGTGTCTTCACACAGTTGATCCTCATTCTTCACGGAAGCTGTATTTGCGCATTTTGCAAACCTGTCTGCTCGCTGGGATGTGTTTGTACCCCCAGGTCAGCCCCTGCAGCACCGTCAGGGTCATGCCCAGGCCGGAGCGGGGCGGAGGAGATGCTCTCCTGCCCGACACACGCACCCAGCCCGGGTCAGACGAGGCGGTACCCTGCCTTCTGCTTTCAGATTTAGGTCTGTGAGCCGGTTCCCTTTCTGTTGGTCTGTTTAATGCCACTTTTTTTTCCCCTGCATTTTTGAGCTTCTCTGGTGGTGATTTCGCTGTTTAAGACGGCCCCCAGAGGAGTCCTCAGCCCCTGGCGAGTGTCAGCGAGTGTGACTCGCTTCTGAGGCGTGAGCTGCAGTGCTGTTGGCCACGGGTTCAGCATTCGTGCAGCAGCAGTAGCTGGGGTAACTTCGCACGCCCAACACAGACAGCAGATGACCACGGGGCGGTTGGCGGGCCACGAGAGGCTCATGGGAACCCACACGCCTGTTCTAATAGGAGCAAACAGCTGTCTCCCCCCAGTCTCTGGTGACTGTCTGCCATTTCTCGGTGGGGGTTCTTCAGTCGCTCAGTCGTGTCTGACTCTCTGACCCCATGGACTGCAGCACGCCAGGCTTCCCTGTCCATCATCATCTCCCAGTTTGCTCAAACTCGTGTCCATTGAGTTAGTGATGCCACCCAACCATCTCGTCCTCTGCCTAAACCACCATCAATAAGAGAGGCAACTACCCTTCTTACCGTCTTCAAACCCGGATGCCCTCTATGTCTGGGGGAGGCCGAGCTCCTCCAGGCCTCTCCACCAGCTCACGATCCATCTGTTCCCTCTCATTTTTTACTTTGCCATCAGTAGTAATGACAGGAACACAAAAAATTCTTACACAGAAGACAGGAATTTTCAGTCTTGGACATGTTGGAAGAAGCTGATAGTTCCAAGACTGGGGTCTTCTGTTTTATGGTGTTGTTGACAAATAGTGGAGTCTTAATTTTGGTGTTAGTGAAAGAACAATGGTGGGTAAGACAGGTGAGTCAGGAGGTAGTTAGGTGCCGGATGCACTGGTCACATTCAGTTCTGTCGCTCGGTTTGTGAAGGAGACCAGCGTCTTTATTATCGCAGGCCACCTCAACACAAGAGGCTGGCTTGATGTGGAGCTGGGCTCAGCCTGCCTGGGGCTCTGCCACTTGGATTTGGGGACCGTTTGTTCTGTCCTTTGGCCGCTTCCGCCTGCGTGTTTCCCTGCTGTCCCTCCATTCCCCCTACTCCAGCTCGAAGCAGGGTAAACAGTTCGTGAGGGGGGAGCCCCAGGGGCAGGGAGACTCCTCGGTGCTGCAGGGGTTGAGGTCCCTCTACCAAAGACTGGTTTTTGTTGTAAAGTCAACAAACAGCTTCACAAGCCGGGTGTATTTCTCGGTTCAGTGGAAGGAACACTTTGGCAGAGCTGTGACCCCCTAGGTTGTGTGGTTTTAGTTAACCTTCCTGAGCCCCTGTTTCCTTGGCAGTCCGGATGAGGTGGGGATTCTGTCTATGGGCGGGTTGGAGGCGGCATGCGGTGGGAGCTCGGGGGGCGGTCATGGTGTCCGCAACTTGGGGTGTGGCTGGGGGCCCCGGGGGGCCGGAAGCCCATCTGCAGTGTGTCCCCTGGGGCTGTCTCTGGGCGCACGGCCGTGGTCCTGGATGAAGGCCAGAGCTGTTGCCCTGGGACCCGCCTCAGCCTCAGTGTCTTCCCACCCCCTCATCACCAGCATCTGAGCCTCTGGCCTTTACCTGAAAAGCCGATCTGAGGACATCAGCCCTTGTCGCCTGCCTGCCGATTAACACGAGTATACCCGTCGTGTGTGTTGTCACGGGCTGTGGGGTGAGAAACAAAATCTCCTGTTCAGACGTGAGCAGGTCAGCAGAGACAGGGCTCGCGAGACAGGAAGTCCCCAAAATGCCCAGAGGCTTAGGAAGTAAAGTGGACTGAGCCCTGTCTGAGCAGGCGGTGGAGGGAGGGCATCTAGAGCGTCAGACTGCTCCGGGCAGCCTGCTGCCCCTGGGGACCAGCGGGGCCACTGCTGGGTCTCACGGGAGCCAGCACTGTGGCTGGCGGGCGGGCCCTGGCTGCCCTGTTCCAGTCCAGGCTCGTGTCCCTGCCGGACCCGTCTTGTCCCGCTGCAGGACCCCCCTCGCTTTGCCTTTTATAGTTACCGATGCCAGTCCAGTCGATGTTTACTCTTTGAGATGGAAACATCCTTTTCTGATAACCTCAGCAGATCCCTCTGTTAACGTTTACCTCTTGCGGTAACACGTCTGAGAAATCAGGACCAGTCAGAGCGGATGGCTGTGTTGAGACTGGGCCACAGAGACTGGAATGTGAATAGAGTGTAAAGTGTACTTTAAACCAGGTGGACAGTCGCCATGTGCAGTTTCTTTGTCTGTCTGTGTGGATCAGGACTCATCCTTGTGGCTATAACAAACACCTGGAGGTGTCCATCTGCTGTCCTGTCATTTTATTTGTGACAGTTAATGCTGTTCCAGGCCAGACCCATGTCCAGGTTCCCAGTGGGCTCAGCAGGTGTCTGTGGCCTTGATGGAGCAGAGCTTCCCGGGGGAGGGGAGCCAGGCCAGTGCTCCAAGGACGGAGGCTCACTGGGTCGCACTTCTGCTCTTTCAGAATCATCCCCTCACCCTGCCTGCCTCGTGAGCTCCTGACCCAGGCCTCAGCCTGGATGGGGACCCCGGGGAAGCGGTGGCCCACACTCGGAGTCCACCGCAGCTCTGGTCCAGTTTCCGGGGTGTGCCTCCTCCGGCCCCTAGCTCGTCGCGTTAGCCCTGCTGGAGTCTGGGGCCCACTGTCCCACGGGGCCGTCGGCCACCACACTCTGCTCCCCGTGGGCCTCGATGCAGTCCTGTACGGTCCTGAGGACGGTCTGCAGCCTGCGGTCCAGAGCGAGGAGGTGGGGCTCCGTGAGCACGGGGCTGAGCTGGTCCTCCAGCAGCGACTCGCGCATCACGTCGCTGAGCCTGTACTCGGCCTGGGCCAGCAGCTGCAGGTGCAGGAGCGTCTTCCTTTTTATCCTGGAGGACAGAGTCAAAAACCCAGTTAGTCAAGGTGAAGGGAGAAGCTTCCTGAACTGACTTCTCTCCCCACTGCCCTCTCTGGGGGGCCTTCTGCTCCCCCAGTGCCTTCTTGGGCACTCTAATGACACGTCGGTAAGAAGGGACTGGATGGGGGTGGCGGCTAGCATCCTGCAGTCCTCGCCCAGCAGTCTGCCGAGCCGTCCGTGCTCTGAACTGTGGCGCCCCATGCATCCAGCGCTTCTCCGGGAATCCAAACAAGTGCGGAGTGAGAGCTTTTCCAGGGAATTCAAAGCTAACGAGAGAAGCCCCCAGTAGGTGAGACGATGCAGGTGCCTGCCATCTCAAAGGCCGTGGGTACTGTTGGCTCCACCCTGTTTCTGCTCAACTCTGTGGTTCTGATTTCTCTGCATCAGATTCTGAAATGGGGTTGGGTCCACCTTTAGGGTTCCGATTTTTTTTATGTGGGACTGTGACTTGGGACTCATGTGTAAGCAGCTTAAGTGTCCAGCCTCGATCACACACAACCCCTGCCTTTCCTGCTCAGGAGGAGGGGATGGCAGGTAGGGGGGCACGTGTAAGTTACCCCAGGAAGTGGAGGAAGAAAGTTCAGGCCCCGAATTTTCCAGTGGGGAATGGAGACAGTTTTGCCCCGCGTGAACCACACGTTTCTATCCAGCCTTGGACACCACCGCGAGCAGGTGCGCGGTCCTGGCCGGCCGGGCTGAGACGCCAGCCCGACTGGAGGCGGTCAGAGACGCTGCATAGACGTGCTGGCCAGGCGGAGACCCGGGGGCTTCCTCTTCTCCGACAAGAGGTTATGGGACTTGAGTCAGGATTCTGCTTAGATGGTGATGGGATAGCGGTATTTAAGAGCTACGTTAGGCCACCAGGCCCCGCAACAGTGAGGGCGCGCTTATCTGCGTGGCTTAAGGATGAAGGCAGGCGGCCGAGACGTCTGAAAGCTCAGGCCCTAAGTCCCCCTCTGCGGGGACAGTTCTGCGGTCACGGGACAGGAGGTCCGCCCGCCCACCTCCCAGAGCAGCGGAAATGAGCTGTTCAGAGCCGCCTGGAAGGGGATGCTCACCGGCAGCACTGGAAGAGCGGCGCCAGGATGGAGACCTCGTCATGGGAGTGCCGGCCGAACCTGCGGGAGAGACAGACAGACGGCGCTCGGGGCCGCCCCCGCCCCCTCTCCCGCGTCCCGCCCGCCCTCTGCTGCGCCCAGACGCGGCTC